AGAGCACTGTTAACTGTGTTATGTCTGGGGAGCACAAATGGCCTCCACCTGTGGATGACAACGTGTCAGAAGTTCCCAACAGTCCACATGCCCTTCCTGACTGGAGCTCAGAGCCGAACCTGAGCCGGCCTCCAGGGCCTGGCTGATGGAGGAGTGGGGAAGCAGCCTGGCCTGGCCTGAGGACAGAGGGCCCATCAGGGGTCGGGGTGGTTCTGGGTGGAGCCCAGAGGAGGAGTAGGGCCTGCTGGCAGAAGGCAGGCCCCAAGTGTTTGGGACCAGACCAGGGCTAGGAAGCAGCCTTACAGGTGTGAAGCTGAACCCTTCTGAGATCTGTGTCAGTGGGGGCGGGGGGCAGCGAGGGCCCTGACCTGCTCCTGGCGAGGCCGAGCGAGGAGGACGAGGCTTTCATTTTTGTAAGAGCAGAGAGCAGACATGTGAAGCATCTAGCGCAGGGCCCAGGACTAGTTTTTCATTTCCTCCCCTTCTCCTGATCAGCAGGGGTGGCGGTGGGATGCCCTGGGGGAGGGAGGGGGCAGTGCATGCCCTACTTTTTGGCCCCAGCCCCTCCTAGGCACCCTCAGCCTGCCCAAGTCCCGGAGACCGATGCCCCCAGGAGCTGTGGAGTTCTGGGGCAGGCAGTGGGGAGAGGCCAGAGGTCCCAGCGGGCCCTAACAGTGGCCCCGGTCATCAGCTTCTGCCCTCAGGATCTCAGTCTACCTCCAAGGTGCCACCCAAGGGCCTTGCAGAATTGGGGTGTGGCCTAAGGGGACATGGGAGGCAGGCTGGGCCTGAAGGAGAAGCCTGGGGGAGGCTGGGGGCCAGAGGGGCAGCGCTGGCTCGTGCCTCTCTCCTATCACCCCACTGGCATCGGTGGCGTTTCTGTATCATGGTCAGCCCCGGAGTGGGTCAGACTGGGCACCCTGGGGTACCCGAGGGGCCCAGTGCAGACTCAGTCCCAGGCATGAGGCCCAGCGCCCAGCAGTGAAGCCAGGAAACCTGACCCCATGGAGGCCCGTGCCTCCCTCAGAGCTGGCAGAACAAAGGCGGAGTTTCAGCCCCGCCCCGTGCCCAGCTGCGCAGAGGGTCCCCAGGGCCCGCGGGGACACTATGGGCCTGTCTGGTCCCCAGCTGTGGTCTCCCTTCTAGCTGGGGCTGAGCAGGCCCCCTGGCAGGGTCTGGCCTGGAGACACCCGCTGGGGCCCAGCCTGCCCACCCTGCCTGCCTGGCCACTGGCCCTTCACCTCTGGGGCCCAGTTCTCCATCGGCTGCGTGGGGACCACTGGGGACACCTGGCAGTGTTGAGAGGGGCTCGCCCAGGGCGTGTGCGCAGTCACGGCCAGGGTCTGAGCCCTCCAACCAGCAAGGAGCTCCCTGCTAGCAGAAGGAAGAATGGGCCCCAGGGCATGGGGCACCCAGCGGGGAGGCCGGACCCAGGGAGGGGCCCAGGGGAGTGGGGGTGCTGCTTGAGGAGGGGAGGAGGCAGCTCCTCAGACGTGCTGTGTCTTCTCCGTCAGAGAACTCAGGCATCTCCCTTTGCCCTGCTGGCAGGATGCTCCAAGGGACGCAGCTTCGCTTTGCCGTGTGGGAGGCCCTGGGAGACCCCGGCTCCTCTCAGGCTGCCCAGTGTGCGCAAGTGTGGCAGCAGGCCAGTGTGATGCGGTCACTTCCACGGCTCCTCGGACAGCTCTGTCCCTGCAGCCATGTCTCCCTGATCCAAGGAGTCTCTGACTTCTTGGGACAGAGGACGGTAAGAGTCCTTTAATCCAGGCGGGGTTCTACCCTTCACGGGCCCCACTGCAGAGGGGCCAGGGCTGCTGCACCACAGCCTGTCACCCCACATGGGCCCCCACCAGCCCCCGGCCCACGAAGCCCGTCAGGCCTGGCCTCTGTCTGCAGTTGCCACCACCGTGCCTTGGCTCAAGGCCAGAGCTGCCCAGTGGCCCATGGCCTCCCGACACCAGGCCCAAGGAAGGGGCCACCTGCTGGGATGAAGTCCCCAGGGTGGCATCAGCCCTTTCCACCAGCTGTCCTCACAGGAGGACCCGCTGTCTGGAGCGTACGCCACGACTGTGTGGCCCCCATCCTGATGCATGCTGAAAGCTCAGGGCACCTGGACACACTTCTCCCTGCCACTGCCCAGCTTCCAGACCAAGCAGAACATACCCCTCCTGCAGTGGTCAGGGGTCAAGCCCATCAGCCTTTCTGTCCTGGACCCTCTGTGTCCAGCCTCTTACTCTGCATTTCCTAACCCAGCCCTCCTCCCCGCCGGCCACCCAGCCCACGCCTCTCCCCTTGTCTGTAGTTCACACAGCCGCCAAAGGGGTCTTTCCTCCAAACATAAAGCAGATCACAGCCCTCCTCTGCTCACGTCCCTTCCAGGCCAATCCTCCCACTCGCCCAGGCCAGCGGAGCCCCAGGCCTGCTCCCCCCACCCACCCCGCCCCGCCCCATTCCCAGCCTCCCTTGCAGCAGGGTGGGTTCTGGGGAGACAGGCCTGCCGGGCTGGGGCTCTGGGTGTTCGCGGTGCGTGCACATGGGCACTAGCGGTGGGCTGTGCCCCAAGGCCCCCGCTCCCCCCTGCTCTTGCTGCTCCCCCTCCCCCAGTTAGCTGCCAGGCTAGAGGGAACGTGGCTGTGGGACGTCAGGAGGCCGGTGGAGCCCTGTGACCTGCTCCCTGGAGGGCACCCGACCCCGGGCATGGCCCTGCCTGCACCAGCAGAGCCCCGTTGTCACTGTCCTGATGGCTCTGAGCCCCAGGGAACGGGGAGCAATGTGGTGGGAGGGGACTTGTCCCCGGAACCCCGAGGGCAGGGCGTCCCTCCCAGCAGGCGCTGGCCAGGTGGTCCTCAGGGTGGGCTGAAGGAGCTGCTGCCTCTGGTCGGCGGTGGTTGCTGTTGAGTTGATCCCAACTCATGGTGACCCCACATGTGCAGAGTAGACCTGCTCCACAGGGTTTCAATGACTGGGAACTTTCAGAAGCAGATCACCAGGCCTGTCTTCTGAGGTGCCTCCAGGTGGGTTCAAACCATCATTTCAGCCAGTAGTCGAGTGCTTAACCGTCTGCGCCACCCAGGGGCTCCTGTCTCCAGTCGAGGGCCATCTAATCCAGAGACAGGGAAACCACTTCTAGTCCCCACAGGGCCTGAGGCCAGGGAGAGGAGGGGAGCCCTGCAGCTGAGCGCCTCGCCCAGGGCAGGGGCAGGTCCTTGGGTCCAGGACCCACACCTGGGTCCTCAGGGCACAGGCTGCAGGAAGCCTGGGACAAGCACTGACCCTGCGCCCACCCCAGAGTGGCAGGGAAGTGGAGGCAGTGGGTATGGACCAGTCATTGGTTGGGTGACCACTCACAGAGTGGATGGGGAGGCCCGGCTGTGTCTCCAAACTTCCCCCCCAACCCTGCTCCAGAGGCGCCTTTCAACCAGCTGTGGCGAGCCGAGGTCACTCCAGGGTCACAGCCTGCCCCACTCAGCACGGCCACTCAAAAGCCGGCTGGCTCATTCTCACCCGCGAGGCTGCTCCCGCTGGGTCTCAGCACCTACCCTGCCACCCTCCCCACCACAGCACACGCTCGCACCTCCCACGGGCTGATGTCCCAGTAAGCTCTGGGGAAGCAGGGGCACCCAGGGATCCCTCAGTGACAGGAGGCAGGGGAAGGGGTGCTGTACCCATAGATGCTGACCTAGGGAAGCAGCGGCACCTAGGGATCCCTCAGTGACGGGGCAGGGAAGGGGCACAGTACCCGCAGGTGCTGACCTGGGGTTGGCCTTCTCTGGTTAAGAATGTCATTCACCAGCCTGCCCCCCGCAGCCCGTCCCTGGAACCAAGGGCTCCTCAGTCTGGTTTCCACACCACTGGCCTGCCTGGTGCCAGGCCCTCTGCAAGGGGCCACCCTTCAGGTGGGCCTCGGGGCCTGGGGACTGCAGTGGGGGCCACCCTTCAGGGGGGCCTCGGGGCCTGGGGACTGCAGTGGGGGCCACCCTTCAGGGGGGCCTCGGGGCCTGGGGACTGCAGTGGGGGCCACCCTTCAGGGGGGCCTCGGGGCCTGGGGACTGCAGTGGGGGCCACCCTTCAGGGGGGCCTCGGGGCCTGCCCTTCAGGGGGGCCTGCCCTTCAGGGGGGCCTGGGGAGTGCAGTGGGGGCTGCCCTTCAGGGGGGCCTCGGGGCCTGGGGACTGCAGTGGGGGCTGCCCTTCAGGGGGGCCTCGGGGCCTGGGGACTGCAGTGGGAGCCACCCCTCAGGTGAGCCTCGGGGCCTGGGGACTGCAATGGGGGGGCTGCCCTTTAGGTGGGCCTGGGGACTACAAACAGGGAATGCCCCTCAGGTGGGCCTTGTCCTGCCCTCAGACACCCTAGGCATGACCTTGCCATGTTGGGACTTAGAGCTTGAGGCCATCACACTCTGGATGGCAGGGTACGTGGGGCAGATGTTCCACAGGTAGGGGCGCCAGCCCTGGGGCCCTCACGGGGGTGGCCAGTGCAGCTGCCCCACCTCCCTCCCAGGCCCGTCAGGTCCACAGAAGCACCTGGTCAGCCCAGGTGAGCGGAGGGGAGAGTGGTGGGCTCTGAACCTGGGGGAGGGACAGGGATTCGTCACACTCCCGTCCCACCCACCCCCTTTCCACAGTCAGACGGGAGGTCAGTGCTATGGCAGCTCCCCAAACGGTGCCCGCTGTGGGTCTCAGTCCTACCGGGGTCTGTCAGACTCCACATGCCAGACATGATTTTATTCACCACCGTCCCACATCGGCCCACAGGCTGGCGGGTGGGAGCCCTACGGGGGCAGGCGTGAAGAGCACACTATAAACAGGGCTCTTGGAACAGACCCACTGGCCAGTAAATGCTTCAGGCTGGATTCCAACTCAGAGAAGATAGGCCTGGCCTCCCGGGGTCCTCCCCGGGCTCCAGAGGGTCTTCGCAACCTTGGCCGGCCTGCCCGGGACTGGGGCGGCGATCCGGCCGGGCTTCTGTGGGTCGGGCAGCAGCAGCCGTGCCCATCACGCCCGGCCCCGGCTCGCTCCCTCAGCTTGGCGGCGGCAGCAGCAGCAGCGGGCAGCCCCGCGGCGGGTCAGGGCGTGGGGCCTGGGCCTGCCCCATCGCTGGAGCCCTCGGAGGCCGCTCGGGACCTGCTCCTGCCCCTCTGCAGTGTGTAGGCGGATGGCCCCAGCCTCAGGATCTTCCCGCTGCCCAGGCACTCGTCCCCCTTGTAGAACACGGCAAACTGCAGGGCAGAGAGGCCGGTCACCAGCCTGCAGGGCCCAGTGTCGGGGGAGGGGGCCAAGCTGGCTGGTGACAGGCCTGAGGCGGATGGAGGGAGAGGAAGGGCTGGCGCTCCAGCAGCTTCATTAGGAAGGGAGGTCAGGGTCGGGGCCCCTTCCCTGAGTGGATGGTCACAAGGCCCTCCCACACCAGTAGGTCTCTGCAGCCCTGGGGATTCTGGCAGTGGGGCTGGAGGGAGCTTCAGCCCCCTCCCCCAAGGCTCCCTGGGGGCCCCCAAGTCCCAACCAGCTACTGGCCTTAGGAGAGCCCCCAGCCCCTCACACTGCCTCCACCCAGGCTCTAGCTCGCACCCCCCTCCTTGGAGGCCCTGCACACTCTGCCCCACAGGGTGCCCATCCCACTGCCTCCCTGAGCACAAGCCTGGTGCCTCTCCCAGTTCTGTCCCTGCCCTGGGGCCCAGCCGGGTGGGTGGAGCTAGGCCCCCCATGCTGAGCAGGGAGAGCTGAGGTCCAAGGGGATGGCTGCCACGATCCCATCATTGTTGTCACTGGGGTGGAGGGGGCACCATCTGAGCCCCAGCTCCCTCCCCAGTAAACCAGGGTGGTGAATGGGCTTTGTTAATGCCCGTCTCATGGAAGACAGAGGCTTGAAGACCCCCACCACATGCCAGCCACAGCCCACAGCCACCTTCCTGTGTCCCGCTGGGCATCACCTCCTCCATCAGGGGCCACTGCAGGGCTGGGCGCACCACCTGCCCCCCCACCCCCGACAGCCCACAGCCCCGGGGCCACACTCACCTGCCCGGGGGTGAGCGCCCGCACAGCCTTCACTGCGGTCACCCACACGGTGCCGTCCTGGTTGAGGGTCAGCACACAAGGCACTAGGGGGCGAGAGTGGCCTTAGAGAGGGGCTAGCCTTGGGCCCCCAGGGAAGGAGGGGGGACTGCTGCTCAGCGGGACCTCCAGTATCACCCCCATCGGGGCAGGGCAGGGCCCCAGCCCAGCCTCCCGGGGCTCAGCAGCAGACGCCCCCAGCCTCTCCCCATGGCAGGGAGGACGGGGCTTTGTTACTTCACATGCTCTGAACAATGAGGGGCTGTCCTGCTTACGGTCGAATCCCCGCTGTCCCAAGAGCCTCCTCTGGCCCCAGAAAGCTCGGCCCCCAGCGGCCTCTGGCCCCAGCTGCGGCTCCAGGACGGCCTCTCCCGCTCAGTCACCTAGCGCCATCTGGTGGCGGAAGCGGAAGTGGCACTCCATCATCTTGTCGCGGACCAGGGCGGCCGGCGGCCCCTCTGTGACCCAGTGCACGCGGTTGGTGCGCAGCAGGTCCCGGTACAGGGCAGGGTGGTCCATCCGCGGGGCCTGTGGGTGGAACGCCAGGTTGTGACCACGGAGGGCTGCACCCAGCCCGCCTCAGCACTCATCAGAGCAAGCGTGCCCTGATGACTGTACTCAAAAAACCAAACCCACTGCCATCGAGTCGACTCCGGCTCATAATGACCCTACAGGACAGAGCAGAACTGCAACAGGCTTTCCGGGGAGCAGCTGGTGGATTGGAACTGCCGACATCTTGGTTAGCAGCTGAGCTCATAAGCCCTGTGCCACCAGGGGACCCAGCTGCCGGCCCTGAACTGGGAGGACCAGCTGCCGGCCCCGACCTGGTGGGACCCAGCTGCAGGCCCCGACCTGGAAGGACCAGCTGCCGGCCCCCAGGGTCCCACTGGCCCGTCTCTCCAAAAGGCCTCCCCAGAAACCCCGCCCACCAGCACTGGCCGAGGGGAAGAAGGGAAAGGCAGTCGCCAGCCCCCCCAGGCGGGCACCATCTGAGTCTGTGCTCACACCTCAGAGTTAGGCTGGTCTGCTCAGGCCTCCTGGCCCCCCAAGGCGTGGTTCTGAGGCCCCTGGTCCCAGCCTCCAGCCTCTGCAACACTGACACATGGGACCCTCAGGGTCTGTGCCAGCCCCTCCTCCTGAGGCAGGCCCAGCAGCGGTAACTCCGGGGACTGCAGGGCCTACAGAGGGAAGACAGCCCACCCACGCACCGAGGTCAGCTGAGGGCCCCTCTGGTTGTTCTCCTCGCAGACCAGACACTGGACTTCACAATCACTGCGTCAGCAATGGAACTCAGGCTCCTTGGCCCTCAGCTCTTCACGGGAGGTGCCTCTCAGGGTTAGCTGCCGAGGGTGTATGCCTTGGGCCGTGTGGAGAAGGTCCCCCAGCGCCGCTGACAGAGCACCCCACGGTGTCTCGGCCGCAGGCTTCTCAGCTGGCACTGAGATTCGGTGGACAAGTCTTTGCTGAGGGGCTGTCCTGTTCAGCAGCACCCTGGCCTCTGCCCACTAGATGCCAGGAGCATCTCCACTCAGCGGTGACAAGCACAGACACCTCCAGACACTGCCAGATGTCCGGAGTGGGGAGCCTCGCCTGGCCAAGCAGCCCTGGGCTCGCTTGTGGGGTGCAGCGTGGTGGCTCAGGGCCCCAGTGGCGGCAGGCGGCGGACCAGATAATGCCTCTACCACTTCGGTTTGTTCATTCATTACTCCTGAGCCCTGCCATGGGCAGCCCCTGTCCCAGGCCTGCGGCTACCTCCTCTCCAGGGACCTTAGGCCAGTTACTCGATCCCGCCTAGTCTCATCCCTCTTTTGTAAGCTCAGAAGACAGTGTCTGTTCATAGGGACCAACACAGTGATCAGGGGACCAGCTCGCAGTAAGTGCTCAATAAATGACTTAAAGACAAGCCCTTCTAGTCCCTGGGGGCACCCCAGAAGAGGGAGGTGAGCACGCACAGCCTTCACTGTCCCCCGCACGGCCTCCACTGTCCCCCGCCCGGCCTTCCCCGCGGTCCTCCGCACAGTGTCATCCTGGTTGAGGGTCAGCACAGAAGGCACTAGGGGGTGTGAGTGGCCTGAGAGGGGACCCTGGCTTCGGGCCCCCAGGGAAGAAGGGACACTAATGGGAGGTGGGCTGCTGCTCAGAGGGACTCCCGGTCTCACCTCCACCTGGAAAGGCAGAAGGCCCTACCCTGCTGCCCTAGGTGCTGTCCAGGCCCCTGCCCCACCCCACCCGTGGATCTGCTGAGCGCAGACCCAGTCACCTGGGACGGGTGCCACTCACCACGAAAACGTCACCCTTGGCGCCGTCCTTCTCCACCACGTACCAGGGCTCCCTCAGGCCGCCAATCCTGGCTCTCTGGCCCAAAGTGTACAGGAACCAACCTGTGGAGACACAGGTGTGCAGTGAGGCCTGCGGCCAGCTCCACATCCAGGCGCTGCACCCCCACAGGAACGGGAGGCCCTTCGGCCCAGACGGAGGGAGTAACACCAAAGAGAAAGTCACTGGGAGACATTCCAGGACCGGAACCCCAGCTGGGCCCTTCCACCGGCCACACGGGTTGGGCTGGGTGGACTCACGGGGCCGCCATGTGGGGGAGGCCGCCACACCTTCACCCCTGCTCTCAGGGGCACGCCTTCCCCACTGCACCTACACAGCCATCTCCACAGTCCTCCCACCTGGACAGCGACCTCTGTGACCGATTCACCTCTGCCTTCTCCGTGCCTCGCACACAGAGATCACAGGCCTGCGCCTGGCACTCCCACGGCCTGTGCTCCTGCTGCCCTGCCAGGCCGGAAACTCCATGCACGGGATGCTTCTGACCCTGTGGACCACATGGTCCTTTGTCATGAAAGCCAGGCTTTGAAGCTAACATAACTCGTTTTGCTGAAGCAGGATTTCTCTGTAACCTAACGTTTTCTTCATATAGTGAAAAATAATTCTATTTACAGGGCATAATTCACAGAGTGAAGTCCTTTTGAAACAGATGGCATGCTTTTTTTAATTAATTCCAGTGTTTAAAAGGAGACCACATCACTGGGACAACATGAACAACTGGTGTAATATATTCATAAAGTTACGTCCTACATCCTAGTTTGGTGAGTACCATCTGGGATCTTAAAAGCTTACAAGCAGCCATCTAACAACTATTAGTCTATACTCATCTGGAGCAAAAGAGAAAGAAGAAAAATAAAGACTCAGAAGAAACTAGTCTACTGGATAAACAGTCTACAGGAACCACGACCTCATCTACCCTGAGACCAGAAGAGCTAGATGGTGCCCGGCCACCACCGCTGACTGTTTTGATCCGGGCCACAACAGATGGACTCTAATAGCATGGGAGCAAAATGTGGAACAGAACTCAAATTCTTCAAAAGTCCAGACTGACTGGACCGGTTGAAACTAAAGGACTCCCCAAGACTATCGCCCCGAGATACCCTTTAAACTTGGAACCAAGACTATTCCGAGGCCACCTTGTAGCTAAATAACAGATTGGTTCATAAAATAAAGAATATCAACCCAAGAGTATGGCCCCCGGACACCCTTATTGCTCAGTAATGAAGTCACTCCTGACGTTCACCCTTCAGCCAAAGACTGATGTTGTTGCTGTTAGGAGCCATCAAGTCCGTTCCAACTCATAGCGGCCCTACGTACAATAGAACAAACCACTGCCTGGTCCTGCGCCATCCTCCCAATCGTTGTTATGCTTCAGCCCATTGTTGCAGCCACTGTGTCAATCCATCTCACTGAGGTTCTTCCTCTTTTTCACTGACCCTCTACCAAGCATGATGTCCTTCTCCAGGGACTGATCCCTCCTGACATCACATCTAAAGTACGTGAGACGTAGTCTCGCCATCCTTGCTTCTAAGGAACATTCTGGTTGTACTTCTTCCGAGACAGACTGGTTTGTTCTTTGGCAGTCCATGGTATATTCAATATTCTTCTCCAACTCCACAATTCAAAGGCATCAATTCTTCTTCGGTCTTCCTTATTCAACGTCCAGCTTTCACGTGTATAGGAGGTGACTGAAAACACCATGGCTTGGGTCAGCTGCACCTTAGCCTTCAAGGTGACATCTTTGCTCTTCAACACTTGAAAGAGGTATTTTGCAGCAGATTTGCCCAGTGCAATGCGTCTTTTGATTTCTTGAATGTTGCTTCCATGGGTGTTGATTTTGGATCCAAGTAAAACGAAATCCTTGATAACTTCAATCTTTTCTCCATTTATCATGATGTTGCTTACTGGTCCAGTCGTGAGGATTTTTGTTTTATGTTGAGGTGTCATCCATATTGAAGGCTGTGGTTTTTGATCTCCATCAGCAAGTGCTTCAAGTCCTCTTCACTTTCAGCAAGCAAGGTTGTGTCATCTGCATAATGCAGGTTGTTAATGAGTCTTCCTCCAATCCTGATGCTCCATTCTTCTTCATATAGTCCAGCTTCTCAGATTATTTGCTCAGCATACAGACTGAATAGGAATGGTGAAAGGATACAACCCTGACGCACACCCTTCCTGACTTTACACCACATAGTATCCCATTTTTCTGTTTGAATGACTGCCTCTTGATCTATGTACAGTTCCTCATGAGCACAATTAAGTGTTCTGGAATTCCCGCTGTTGGCAACATTATCCATAATCTGTTATGATCCACACAGTCGAATGCCTTTGCATAGTCAATAAAACACAGGTAAACATCTTTCTGGTATCCTCTGCTTTCTGTCAGGATCCACTTGACATCAGCAATAATATCCCTGGTTCCACATTCTCTTCTGAATCTGGCCTGAATTTCTGGTAGTTCCCTGTTGATATACTGCTGCAGCCGCTTTTGAATGATCTTCAGCAAAATTTTACTTGCGTGTAACATTAATGATGTTGTTCAATAATTTCCACATTCAGCTGGATCACCTTTCTTGGGAATAGGCATAAATATGAATCTCTTCCAGTCGGTTGGCTGGGTAGCTGTCTTCCAAATTTCTTGGTATGGACGAGTGAGCACTTCCAGCGCTGCATCCATTTGCTGAAACATCTAAATTGGTATTCTGTCAATTCCTGGAGCCTTGTTTATCGCCAATGCCTTCAGAGCAGCTCGGACTTCTTCCTTCAGTATCGTTGGTTGCTGCTCATATGGGAGGTACCTCCTGAAATGGTTGAACATCGACCAATTCTTTTTGCTACAGTGACTGTGTATTCCTTCCATCTTCTTCTGATGCTTCCTGCGTCATTCAATATTTTCCCCATAGAAATTTTTTTTTTCAGTTCTTTCAGCTTGAGAAATGCAAAGAGTGTTCTTCCCTTTTGGTTTTCTATCTCTAGCTCTCTGCACATGTCGTTATAATACTTTGTCTTCTCGAGTCAGCCTTCTGTTCAACTCTTTTACTTCATCATTTCTTCCTTTTGCTTTAGTTACTCGACATTCAAGAACAAGTTTCAGAGTCTCTTCTGACATCCATTTTGGTCTTTTCTTTCTTTCTTGTCTTTTTAATGAACTTTTGCTTTCTTCATGTATGATGTCCTTGATGTCATTCCACAACTCGTCTGGTCTTCAGTCATTAGTGTTCAACGCGCCAATCTATTCTTGAGATAGTCTCTAAATTCAGGTGGGATATACTCAAGATCGTACTTAGGCTCTCATGGACTTGTTCTAATTTTCCTCAGTTTCAACTTGAACTTGCATATGAGCAATTGATGGTCTGTTCCACAGTTGGCCCCTGGCCTTGTTCTAACTGATGATATTGAGCTTTTTCATTGTCTCTTCCCACAGATGTAATCGATTTGATTTTTGTACATTCCATCTAGTGAGGTCCACATATATAGTTGCTGTTTATGTTGGTGAAAAAGGGTATTTGCAATGAAGAAGTCGTTGGTCTTGCAAAATTCTATCATGCGATCTCCGGCATCATTTCTATTACCAAGGTCATATTTCCCAACTACTGCCCATAAGATAAAACGAGACTAAATGGGCACACCAGCCCAAGGGCAAGGATGAGAAGGCTGGAGGGGACAGGAAAGTGGTAATGGGGAACCCAAAGTTGAGAAGGGGAGAGTGTTGACATGTCGTGGAGTTGGCAACCAATGTCACAAAACAATATGTGTATTAGTTGTTTGATGAGAAATTAGTTTGCTCTGTAAAAAAAAGAGTATCACCTGTGAGTACTTTGCTTCTTTAAAAAATGATCTCAAATGGTCAACATTTACTCTAAAGCAAAGAGGAGAAGCCAAGTGGGTGGGGAAACTAGATTACTGGAAACGGAACAACTAGAATGGAAATAATGAGAATACTGACACACTGTGTGTTATGAATTGTGTCCCCCTAAAATATCTGTCAGCTTGGCTAGTCCATGATTCCCAGTATTGTATGATTGTCCACCATCTTGTCATCTGATGTGATTTTCCTATGTGTTGTAAATCCTATCTCTATGATGTTAATAAGAATTAGAATTTACAACACATAGGAAAATCACATCAGATGACAAAATGGTGGACAATCACACAATACTGGGAATCATGGCCTTGCCAATCAATCCATATATTTTTTGGGGGGACACAATACAATCCATGACAATAATCAAGACAGAATTTGGTACTGAGAGTGGGGTGCTACTCTAACAAATACCTAAAATGTGGAAGCAGTTTAGAAACTGAACAGGTAGAGGCTGAAGAGTTTTAAAGTGCCTAATGGTAAAAGACTAGATTGCCCTGAAGAGACTATTGGTAGAATCACGGATGTCAAAGGCAATTCCGGTGAGGACGCAGAGAAAGTGAGGAGAGCTGTCACACTGGAGAGGACGCGGACGGCGAGAAGCAGTAGCACAGAACTAGCAGCAGCAGAACCAGGAGACCAGCACAAGATGGCACTGGAGCTGACCCACGGAGGGAGAGAGCTGAGTACCTTTGGCAGGAGGCTTCCTGGCAGAGCGGGGTACCTACGGGCACTTATTGGTGGAGTTAGGCTTGCCGATCCATGGAGCAAGAGAGCTGACTGCCTTCTGGCCAAAGTTTACTGGCAGTGTGGGGTGACTCCACGCACTTATCGGGGAGCTACAGAGCTTTGGAACACTTGCCCTAGCAGGGCAGAGAGGGACTAAGAGGCTAAGGAACCAGGAAGCAGAAGCTGAAGAGACAAGGAACACAGGAAGCAGAGCTGCCTCAGTCTCAGAAGGTATGGCCACGACCTCTGTAGTCTCAAATGGTGGAGCCATGGCCTCTGGGGTCTCAAAGGATGGAGTTGCCACTCAGACTAGGAGAATGGGGCCACCCAAACTTGAAGGAGCAGAGTTGCTGTTCCAATGGGCATGAAAGGCGGAGCTGAAGCCCAGGGCGGAGGGATCTCCACTCAGAATCCAGAAAGTGTGGGCAATCCTTAGAGTCTGGAGGGCAGGGCTATTGTCCAAATGGTCTCAGAGAACAGGATCATTTTCAAGCCTTGAGGGCTAATGTAATGTGTTCTGCTGACTTACTTGGTGCCTGTTATCCCTTCTTTCCCTCCAATTTCTCCCACTTGTCATGGAAATGCCTAACTTGTCGCTGTTGCACCATTGTACTTTGGAAACAGATAACTTGTATCCTAGATTTCACAGAGGAAGAGGAATTGTTGGGTTTTGAACTTGGAGATGATTTAAGACTTTTGCTATGATATGAGAGGGTGAATGTATTTTACATGTGGCAAGGACATGAATTTTTTGGAGGTCAAAGGGTGGAAAGTTTTGGATTGAATTTCATCCCCCAAAAAATGTGTATTAATTTGGCTAGGCCATGATTCCCAGTATTGTGATTGTCCACCATTTTGTCACCTGATGTGATTTTCCTATGTGTTTTAAATCCTATCTCTATAACGTTAATGAGATGGGATTAGCGGTAGTTACGTTAATGAAGCAGGACTCAATCTACAAGATTAGATTGTGTTTTAAGCCAATCTCTTTTGAGACATAAAACAGAGAGGCAAGCAGACAGACATGGGGACCTCATATCACCAAGAAACAAGAGCCAGGAGAATAGCACATCCTTTGGACACGGAGTGCCTGAGCTGAGAAGCTCCTTGATCAATGAAGATTGATGACAAGGACCTTACCCCAGAGCCAACAGAGAGAGAAAGCCTTCCCCTGGAGCTGGCACCCTGAATTTGGACTTCTACCTCCTGGACTGTGACAGAATAAATTTCTCTTTGTTAAAGCCATCCATTTGTGGTATTTCTGTTATAGCAGCCCTAGATAACCAAGACACTGTGAAAAAATGTAATCAGTGTCACGGAACAATTTGTGTAGAAAACTGTTAAACGGGAATCTATTTGCCGTGTAAACTTTCACTGAAAACACAATAAAATATTATTTAAAAAAAAAGAAGACCACATCTTGAAACATAAAAGTCTCTAGTCGAAACTACTAAATGCCTGTGCCCTAGACGTCTGCCTCCCACAGACTATCCCCCACGACCCACCGGCTGACAGGGCCCCAGGTGTCCTAACTGCCTGGCACTGAGGCTCACCCTCACTCAGGAGTTGGAGGGACAGCAGCCTGGGCAGCACCTCACCTTGATGTGTTCCCAGGACCTTGTTGTCTTCTATGGAAATGAAGTTCCCAGGCCGAGGCTGCAGATACTGGAAAGGAAACAGCTGTTACTGAGGAGACCCGCCCCAGGGCAGAAACAACGGCTCCATCCTCTGCTTCAAACAACACTCACCTGAAGAATGAAATTCTCGAAGTTTCTTTTACCAACAAAGCAGATGCCCATGCTCTGAAACGAGAGGAGGCCCGTGTGAGCCAACAGGATACAGGAGGTGTTCAGAGCCAGAGCCAGAGCCGGGAGGGAGGCTGGGCTCCATTCCGAAACCCTGAGGAGTGCCTCCTCGGCCCTCCCACCTGCCCTCAGCCCCACCCCCTTCCGGGCAAAGACCTGCTGTCCCCCTGCAGCATGCTTTAGTCCTCCCAGTGTTTATTAAGGTTCCAAGACTTGGACCGTATCACCTAATAAGTAACGCTGCTTCATTTCTATGCCCAGCAGGCTCCAGCCCCTGCGGCAGGAAGTCAGACCAGCTGCCGCAGGAAGTAAGCCTGGGAAAGGAGTGCAGCAAACCTCCAGCAGCAGAAAGAAAACTAGACCTGTCGAGCCCTTCAGGCCCCCATCCCATGAGCATAGGGGTGAGACAGGGACCACAGAAGGAGCAAGAAGTGGATCAGCCGGGCCAGAAGAGAAAGCCTCAGCGGGAAGGCGGGAAGGGAAGACTCAGCCCTGGCGCTCTTTTCCAGCACCAGAAGACGGAGCTGCAGTAGACCTCTCTCCACTACCACATCCGCCAGACAGCTTCACACCATGTCTCCCTCTAGGAGACTGGTTCTACGAGGGCAGGGCCTGGCCCACACAGCCCCATAGCTCCTCAGCTCCTACACAGAGCAACACCTGGAACCTGAATAGGTAAACTGGTGGGCAGGGGAGATGGTGGATGGGTAGGTGGATGGATGGGTGGTTAGGCAGTAGATGGGTGAGTGGATGGATGGATGGGTGGGTGGGTAAATAGGTAAATGGATGGGTGAGTGGGTGGATGGATGTGTGGATGGGTGAGTGGGTGGGTGAATAGGTTGGTGGTAGGTTGGATGGATGAATGGATGGATGAATGGATGGATGAATGGATGGATGGATGGATGGATAAATGGATGTCTTCTTCAGGGACAATGATTTGCTAATAAAAGGCATGGCCCCTGCTTTTCCTTGTACCATGCAAATGGTCAACGTAAACATGTAACTAATTAGAGGCAAACCGCCCAATCATACCTCCTTTTTCTGGAGCACGTGATGAAGTCTATTCTCAGCAGCTATTTTCTTTACAAACTGTTTTGTTAATCCCCCCAGAGGGAAGATGGTTCTCCTCAGGGCATCCTGGGAAACCTGGCTGAGAAAGAAGGTCTGGTCTTTAAAGTTGTCAGCTGCCTGGAGGAGTTTTACCGCTGCCAAGAGCAAAGAACAAAGATGTTACAGGAATTTAAAAAAAAAAAAGACACTTTGCCTTTAATAATGTTCTGTTTACTTAAATAAGATTACCCCTGGTCTGTCAGAGACAAAAACCAATACTCATTGGCAGATTACTAGGAAAATTAAAAAAAAAAAAAAAAAATCGTGGATAGTATCAGGAAAATTCTCACCCCTGGTTCATCTACTATTGAAAAACAATACAGGGAAAGCAGATTTTTACGTGAGAAGGAAATGTACTCTAGTTCGTACTTTAGATAATAATATTTTCAAAGGTGAAAAGTCACATGAGAAAACGTCCTGAAGTGAGAAAAAGGAGCCAGTCTCAACTCAGCTCAGGCAAATTTGGGGAAACGGGAGGAGACACTAACTCAGAGAAAGCTCCACTGAAGTGGTGTCGGCTGGGCTTTCTCCCGTGGTCAGAATGCCTTCGTGCCCCGGGCATTCCCCAGGGCTCTCTTCATTGCCCAGCACCGTACTTTCTTTTTTCTCTTACAGTGGGATTCTCCATAGCTATGCGTTTATTGTTGTGTTTTTTTTTGGGGGGGGGGTGCTGATGTTTTCCTTGTTCCTCTTACTTTCCTGTGCTGAGTTCCTTTTGTTTGTGGATTTTTCTTTTGTTATTATACACTTTGTGTCTACTGAGACTGTATGTTTTTCTTTTGATGAGTAGGTTTGTTAACTTTCTTTGTGGTTACCTTGAAATTTATCCCATCTTCCTAAGTTTGAACCAGTCTTTTATATTGCCTGGAGACCCTTGATATCACATGATACCGCTTTGACTTCCTCTCCGTTTGAAAGTTCTGTACCTACACAGTTTATTCCTTTTGCTGTCTTGACACTGCCGTCATTTCCACAATGATCTGTTTCCCTGTTTTAAGTCTTGTAGCTTTGTTTTATTACTGAGAGTTCTTTACTAGGTTGCTTTCTGGCTGATCCTGTCCTGTGTCCTAGACTCTAGCTGCTGTCCGATGCTGTGGTTCTCTAACCAAAGAACTCCCTTTAATATTTCTTGTAAGTTTGGGTTGGTTTTTACAAATCCCCTGAATTTCTGTTTATCTGGAGATGTCCTAATTTTGCCATCGTATTTGAGAGTTTTTCAGGATATGTTATTCTAGGTTGGTAGTTTTTTTCTTTCAAGGTTGTATACGTGTCATCCCATCGCCTTCTTGCCTGTATAGTTTCTGCGGAGTAATCAGAGCTTGTTGTTGTTGTGTTTAGGTGCTGTCGAGTTGGTTCCGACTCATAACAACCCCTGTACCACAGAGCAAAACACTGCCCGGTCCTGCGCCATGCTCACAATCATTGTTATGCATGAGCCCACTGTTGCAGCCACTGTGTCAATCCATCTCGTTGAGGGTCTTCCTCTTTTTTGCTGACCCTCTACTTTACCAAGCATGATGTCCTTCTCCAGGGACTGATCCCTCCTGATCACATGTCCAAAGTATGTAAGACGTTGTCTCACCATCCATGCTTCCAAGGAGCATTCTGCTTGTACTTCTTCCAAGACAGATTTGTTCATTCTTTTGGCAGTCCATGGTATATTCAATATTCTTCTCTAACACCACAATTCAAAGGTGTCAATTCTTCTTCAGTCTTCCTTATTCATTGTCCATCTTTTGCACGCATATGACGCAACTGAAAATATCAGGCGCGCCTTAGTCTTCAAGGTAACATCTTTGCTTTTCAACACCTGAAAGAGGTTTTTTGCAGCAGATTTGCCCAATGCAATATGTCTTTTGATTTCTTGACTGCTGCTTCCATGGGTGTTGACTGTGGATCCACGTAAAATGAAATCCTTGACAACTTCAGTCTTTTCCCCATTTATCATGATGTTGCTTACTGGTCCAGTTGTGAGGATTTTTGCTTTCTTTATGTTGAGGTGTAATCCACACTGAAGGCTGTGGTCTTTGATCTCCATCAGCAAGTGCTTCAAGTCCTCTTCACTTTCAGCAAGGAAGGTTGTGTCATCTGCATAATGCAGGTTGTTAATGAGCCTTCCTCCAATCCTGATGCCCCATTCTTCTTCACATAGTCCTGCTTCTCGGATTATTTGCTCAGCATTCAGACTGAATAGGTATGGTGAAAGGATATAACCCTGATGCACACCTTTCCTGACTTTACACCACGCAGTATCCTCTTGCTCTGTTCGAACAACTGACTCTTGATCTACGTACAGGTTTCTCATGAGCACATTAAGTGCTCAGGAATTCCCATTCTTTGTAATATTATCCATAATTTGTTACGATCCACACAGTCGAATGCCTTTGCATAGTCAATAAAACAAAGGTAAACATCTTTCTGGTATTCTCTGCTTTCAGCCAGGATCCATCTGACATCAGCAATGATATCCCCGGTTCCACATCCTCTTCTGAATCCAGCCTGAATTGCTGGCAGTTCCCTGTCAATATACTGCTGCAGCCACTTTTGAATGCTCTTTAGCAAAATTTTACTTGCGTGTGATATTAATGATATTGTTCAATAATTTCCGCATTTGGTTGGATCACCTTTCTTGGGAATAGGCATACATACGGATGTCTTCCAGTCAGTTGGCCAGGTAGCTGTCTTCCAAATTTCTCGGCAGAGACGAGTGGGCACTTTCAGCGCTGCAACCGTTTGTTGAAACATCTCAGTTGATATTCTGTCAATTCCTGGTGCCTTGTTTTTCACCAATGCCTTCAGTGCAGCTTGGACTTCTTTCAGTACCATTGGTTTTTAATCATATGCTACCTCTTGAAATGGTTGAACATCAACCAATTCTTTTTGGTATAGTGACTGTGTATTCCTTCCATCTTCTTTTGATGCTTCCTGCATTGTTTAATATTTTCCCCATAGAATCCTTCACTTTTGCAACTCAAGGCTTGAATTTTTCTTTAGTTTTTCCAGCTTGAGAAATGCCGAGTGTGTTCTTCCCTTTTGGTTTTCGACCTCCAGCTCTTTGCACGTCATTATAATACTTTACTTTGTCTTCTCGAGCCACCCTTTGAAATCTTCTGTTCAACTCTTTTACTTCATCATTTCTTCCTTCTGCTTTAACTACTCTATGTTCAAAAGCAAGTTTCAGAGTCTCTTCTGACATACGTTTTGGTCTTTTCTTTCTTTCCTATCTTTTTAATGACCTCTTGCTTTCTTCATGTATGATGTCCTTGATGTCATTTCACAACTTGTCTGGTCTTCAGTCATTAGTGTTCAACGCGTCAAATCTATTCTCGAGATGGTCTCTAAACTCAGGTGGGATATACTCAAGATCGTACTTTGGCTCTCATGGACTTGTTCTAATTTTCTTCAGTTTCAGCTTGAACTTGTATATGAGCAACTGACGGTCTGTTCCGCAGTCGGCTCCTGGCCTTGTTCTGACTGATGATATTGAGCTTCTCCATAAATGTCTCTTACCACAGGTGTAGTCGATTTTATTCCTATGTATTCCATCTGGCGAGGTCTATGTGTATAGTCACCGTTCATGTTGGTGAAAAAAGGTATTTGCAATGAAGAAGTCGTTGGTCTTGCAAAAATCTATCATGCGATCTCCGGCATCATTTCTATCTCCAAGGCCGTATTTTCCAACTACCCATCCTTCCTCTTTTTTTCCAACTTTCGCATTCCGATCACCAGTAATTATCAGTGCATCCTGATTGGATGTTCAATCAATTTCAGACTGCAGAAGCTGGTAAAAATCTTCAATTTCTTCATCTTCTAGTGGTTGGTGCGTAAATTTGAATAACAGTCATATTAACTGGTCTTCCTCGTAGGTGTACGGATATTATCCTATCACTGACAGCACTGTACTTAGGATAGATCTTGAAATGTTCTTTTTTGACAATGAATGCAATGCCATTCCTCTTCAAGTCATTCCCGGCATAGAAGACCATGTGATTGTCTGATTCAAATGGCCAATACCAGTCCATTTCAGCTCACTAATGCTTCGGATATCGATGTTTATGCGTTCCATTTCATTTTTGACAATTTCCAATTTTCCTAGATTCATACTTTGTACATTTCACGTACCGATTATTAATGGATGTTTGCAGCTGTCTCTTCTCATTTTGAGTCACGCCACAGCAGGAAATGAAGGTCCCGAAAGCTTGACTCCATCCGTGTCATTAAGTCAACTCTACTTTGAGGAGGCTGCTCTTCTCCAGTCGTCTTTTGAGTGCCTTCCAACCTGGGGGGCTCATCTTCTGGCACTATATCAGACAGTGTTCCACTGCTATTCATAAGGTTTTCACTGGCTAATTCTTTTCAGAAGTAGACTGCCAGGTCCTTCTTCCTAGTCTGTCTTAGTCTGGAAGCTCAGCTGAAACCTGTCTGCCCTGGGTGACCCTGCTGGTATCTGAATACCGGTGGCATAGCTTCCAGCACCACAGCAACACACAAGCCCCCAGAGTACGACAAGCTGACAGACACGTGGGGACTTAGTCTTATAGTTTCCCCTTTGTAACTGACATTTCATTTTTCTTGAGCTGGTCTCAGGATTCTTTGTCTTTGGTTTTGGCAAGTGTAATTATGATATTTCTTAGTGACTTTCTTTTGGGGTCTATTCTATATGGGGTTCGTTGAGCATACTGGACGGTCAACTTATCATCTTTCATGATATTTGGGAAGTTTTCTGCCAGCAAATCTTCAACAATTCTTCTCCATGTTTTCCTTCTCCCCGTTCTGCAACTCCGATCACACACAAATTTTCCTCTTGATTGTGTCCCACGTAATTCTTAGGTTTTCTTCGTGTTCCTTCGTTCTTTTCTCTGATTTATCCTTAAACAAAGGGGCATCCATGGAGTTTTCTTCAACTTCACTGATTCTGTCCTCCACTGTTTCAAATTTGCTCCTAAACCTATTGAGTTGTCCATTTCTGAATGAGCTGTCCATTTCCAGTTGCTGTTTTTGTAAGGTTTTGAATTGTTTATTTATTTAGACATTTTGTTCTTTTATTATTTTCCTGAATACTATTGCTTTGTCTGTTTTATTCTCGATTTTGGCTGGCTTTCTCTGTGTTTTCCCTGATTTTGTCTGCATTTTCCTTGATGTCTTTCCTAATCTCTTGCAGAGCGCTAAATATTAGTCTGTTGAATCCTGTATCAGCTAGTTCCACTGCTTTTTCTTCTATTAGAAGGTCATCTGATTCTGTATTTTGGTCACTTGCTGGAGCCATCTTATCCTGCTTAAATGCACCTCTCACTCTGGCCTGGGGATGACAGGCATCTGCATGGGCAAAGAAAGCCTCCGGGTGTTGGGGATGGTGGCAGCAGCTGAAGGATGCTGATCATGGTCCCCTGAGTAGCCAGGATGCAAGGTGGAATGGGGCAGGACTTGACGAGCAGAAGTGCCCAGTACTGTACTTTTAACCACATATCCCTTCTTGGTAAAAATGGTGTTTGTTTACAGTCCAAGCTGCCATCTGTCAGATGCCCTTCTGCAGCTCCTCCTGTGTTCTCTGTTTTACTGTAAAGACCATCTTTAGGGTTTGAGGCAATGCTGCAAGGGGACTGACTTGGCCACATGGCCTTGGTTCAGGAAGGGACTGACCTCCCATCTCTGGCCCAGATCAGCACAAGGATGTGGCTGCCTGTCTGCTGGGTCACAGAACTCCATGATTGGAGCCATCTGGCTCCCCACTCTGGGGTTCAAGGATCAATGGAAAGACACCAAAGCATAAGAATATCAGTATCAGGGCTTCTTTAAACACTTCTCATCTTTACCTAGAGCCAAGAGAAGCCGAAGAAACCCTGGTGGTGCAGTGGTTAAGTGCTCGGCTGCCAACCAACCTACCAGCCGTTCTGCGGGAGAAAGATGGGGCAGTCTGCTTCTGTAAAGATTACAGCCTTGGAAACCCTATGGGGCAGTTCTACCCTGTCGTATAGGGTTGCTATGAGTCGGAATTGACTCAACGGCTATAGGGTAAGAGAAGCTTCAGCAAGTCAGACAGAGCGTGCCACCCATGAGACAAGTTTGAACAGAACAGTACACAGGACGGTGGTGACAGTCACGAGTGTGGCAGCTCTGGGTGTAGTCAGTGTTTTCCATCCCTGAGCTCAAGACTGATTCTCATACCAGCCATGTGAGATGGAACCATCCCCATTTTACAGACAAGGAAACTGAGGCTCAGACAATTAAAGACTTGCCCAAAGGATCTGGGTACAAAATCGTGGGGCTGGAAGCTGAATCCAAGCTCCTAATCTCGATTCTATTACTTTCTATGCATAAAACAACAAGCCAGATAAACAATGAAAAGTAGAATCCAGTCACCAGGTCATCGAGTAAACCAAGCCATTTGCCAAATTCTACTCTTTATTTCAAAACGGAATTCAGTCAAACAGGGTGTGTGTGTATAAAAGCCTCAGAGCACGGGGAGCAATCTGCATTATCTTCTTGTTCTGGGTTATTTTAGAACAAAGTCAAATTCTGTGATTTGGAGAAAACAAAGTGGCCACTCCTGAACTGAACGACCATCACGGAAGGAGGTGGAGAGGAACGCACAGCTGCTGAGGGCTGGTCTGCGCAAGAACTTTCTCACACCCAGCAGCTCCTCCAGGCCCGCGGCCACTCGGCCAGGCCAGGCCAGGCGCAGTGCCGCTGGTTACAGAGGAGGCCAGGCCCAGGGACCTGAGCGAGGCTCTCTGCCCTGCTGGGTCCTCTCCCCAGGCCAGACCAGGTGGCCTATCCGAGCTTCCCAGGGCAACTAAGTACGACTAAAGCACAAAGGCTCTCTGGGCCTAATAAACACACTGGAAACAAAAGACGCTGTGAGAATATTAAGATAACCCATCATTCCTAACCCAGAGTGTGCAGCGCCATCGGCAGAGCCTCAGAGCCCCTGTGGCCCCGGGAAAGGCCCAGACAGCAGGCGTGTGTCAGCATGGAAAAAAGCCCTCAGAATGCTCTGGACGTGAGACTTGGTGAATCTGCAGCGGCGTTCCCAAGTGGCCAGGCTTTGCATTCAAACCTGTGTCTTCCTGAAACAAAGGCGCCTCCTGGATGAATGAGCCCAGGACCATGAAAACCAGCACCAGGGTGGAGCTGGGAGGGCCAGTCCCCCTACCCACCTGAGCATCAGGGCAAACACAGGGTAGGCCCGACTCCAGGCTGAAGACCTGGCCGTGCTGCAGCCTACAGACAGAGTACGAGCCCCAACAAAGGTCAGTGCCGCCCTGTCTGGGCCGGAGTCGTAAGTTATGCGAGAACCTTCTGCTGTGAGCACACCCGCTTTTCTTAAAGAGAGAGGGAGAGGGAGAGAAGGGGGGGAGAAAAGGAGTGAAGGAGGGACTGAAGGAGGGACGGAGGGAGGGCGGGGAGGAAAAAGGAAAGAGAAGTGAACAGGGCAGTCAAGCAACATCAGGCACAGTGGCCACAGAGAAGGCACCCCGTGCCCGCCCGCCTGCCGCTGCCCCCACTGGCTTGGTGACGCCGAGTGAAGCGCTCAGCAGTGCCTGGGCAGCAGAAAGAGCCTCAACTATGCAGCCAAGCAGAACCAGATTCAAATCCAGCTCTTAGGTGCAAAGGACCTAAGCAAGCCTCCGTTTCTGTACCTGTAACACGGGGATGAGAATATGTACCTCAGAATATTGCTGAGGACAAAAACAAAATGTAGACGTGTAAGCATCTGCCCGCTCCCGGAGACTCTCACTGCCCAGAGGTGGGCCTGGGGCCAGGAGGCTCGAGAATCGGCCATTCGGTGATGCCCAGGTGACTGTGCGGCCGGACAGGGTGCAAGGCTGCAGACGAGAAACGCCAATCCTTTGGTGAGGCCGGAACAGGGAGGTTCCTTGCAGAAAGGTGGCCCTGAGCCCGTTCGGTGTTTCACTTAACGACGTGAGCTCGTTTTTCTACACACACAGGTACGCGAGGCCGGCCCAGCAGCGTCCCACATCCCTGTTTGGCATTGACTTTCTTCTAGAAGGGAGAAACTGTGCTCTCTCCAACATTTACAAACTAATTTGTGTTTATATACGGTCTTCGTAAACAGCCACAAAGCCTAACCGCTAGGCCTGTGCTAAGAACGCCAGGTCCCATCTCACTGCTGCAGTGAAGGACACCTGATCTCAAGCCCTCTAAAACTCCACGGCCAGGAACAGGGCCTTGGCTAGGACCACACCGCCTCAAACACTAGTGTCAAATATCTCAAATGGTATGTGCACCTTCAACTCACCAACACATGGAGCCTACGGCTGGATTGTAAATTATTGATTCCATTTTCCACTAGCCCCTGCCCTGGTACCTGACCAGACGTCTCCTGTTCCCAATCACAGGCCTCGGGGGGCACGGCCCTCCTGGCAACGACTTCTCAAACGTGAAACCAGACAGGCCCTCCCAGGGAGGGATGGCGGTCTGCTCAGATTACAACCCACTGTCACACTTCAAAACAGTTACTTTGTTCATCAACAATCAGGCTCTGACCTGGACTTGCCGACTTACCGTTTCTAACTTCAAATCGATTTCTGAAAAGCCCTTCTGGTCTCTTAATGTGCTTCTGCTGGAAGACTTCCTCGTCTTCCAGGGACGTTCTTGCATAGTGACCTGTGGCCACAGCATCAGCTCCTGTGAGGGGTTGAAGCATAAGGGTCAGACGTGAGCCTCGCGCTCACTGGCCTTGGCCAGCACGAGCCACGGACAGGAAAAGCGTCACACACGAAGTCTCACACTGGACAGTCTCCACACCTGACCCCCCACCAAAGGACAAGATCCTGTAAAGATTCACTGTGAATTTAAATTGAGAACAACCTTGCTACAAAGTTACACTGCAACTTTCAGAGACTTTCAAACGTTAATATCTATCCCTTCATTCATTCTAGCTCAACGAAATAATCAGATAAACGCCACAAAGATTTAAGTACAAAAACCTCATTCTAGTATTTCTTATACTACGGAAAAACTGAAAATAACCAAAATGGCGGCGGGGGGATTCCAGTGCCATTACAGTGGTTATTTGTGAAGGATTTTTTAATGAATCAGACAATGCTTGTAACATTGTTAAACCAAAAAAACCAAACCCGTTGCCGTCAGGTTGATTCTGACTCATAATGACCCTACAGGACACAGCAGAGCTGCCCCATAGGGTCTCCAAGGAGCAGCTGGTGGATTCGAACTGTCGACCTTTTGGTTAGCAGCCGAATGTTTAGCCACTGCACCACCAGGGCTCCGTAACATTGTTAAGCAGGGGAAAATCTATACCGTATATACTATTATAAAAAAAAAAAAAAAAAAATTGTCATCGAGTCAATTCCAACTCATAGCGACCCTATAGGACAGAGTAGAACTGCCCCATTACGGTTTCCATGGACTACCTAGTGGATTCGAACTGCCAACCTTTTGGTTAGCAGACGAAGCTCTTAACCACTACACCACCAGGGCTTCCGTATACACTACAGTCCCAGTTTTTTAAATGCACAGAAAAAAGATGAAGAAAAATCTCAGGTCAGTTTGATCCCAGGAAGTGAAACTACAAATTCTTCCTCCTCTTCTGACAGTTCTGTAATTTTCAAATTTCTTTAATAAATGTGTATTATTTTTATCACAATGAAGGTCCATCCAACCTACTCGATTTCTTCTTTCCACGTGACGCAGAGGAGTGGAAGAACCTACCAAGGCCCGGATTAGTCTACGACATTTCATTGTGTGGAAACTTCAGAGATTCAGTACTGTGAGACTTCCTCCCGGAAGGTGCGGCAGGAAAACCAACTCAGCACTTAACCGACCAAACTAGCTCTGTGTAAAACAAGAGCCCCAGGAACGGACTGCTGCGTATGTTCACCGCCTGAAAAACGAACCAAACCAAACCCGTTGCAGGGAGTCGATTTCGACTTACAGCGACCCTATGGAGCAGAGTAGAACTGTCCCAAAGGGCATCTTTATGGAAGCAGACTGTCACATCCTTCTCCTGCAGAGCAGCTGGTGGGTTCAAACTGCCGACCTTTTGGTTAGTAGCCGGACACTTAACCAACACGCCACCATGGCTTCTTGAAAAAGGACATAAGGAACATATTACTACATCTTGACTAATTTTGTATTGTAGTGCTGAGTTGCCATCAAGTCGGCTCGGGCTCATAGCGAGCCCACGTATAACAGAACGAATCGGTGCCTGGTCCTGCGCCATCCTCACAATTGCTGCTATGTCTAAGCCCACTGCTGCAGCCACTGTGTCAACCCATCTCACCGAGGGTCTCCTCTTTCCCAGTGTCCCTCCACTTTACCAAGCATGATGGCCTTTTCTAGTGACTGGCGTTTCCTGATGATGTGTCCAAAGTAAGCAAGACGAAGTCTCACCATCCTCCCTTCTAAGAAGCATTGTGGCTGTACTTCCTCCAAAACTGATTCATTAGCAAGATTAAAAAAAAAAAAAAATCACCTTAAATTACTTCCTTAAAGAACAACCACTCACACCGTCAAAGGCAGGATTCTTCTGTGAGAACCTTGCGTTCAGGAGTCTAGGTCTCCCGCAGTTTCACCGAGAGGCACCACTCCATCACTCCACTCAGACGAGGAGAATTTCTTTCCACAGCATTCCCGGAGGATGGCCACTCAGGGGTTCCCTGAACAGCTGTGTGACAGGGAGCTTAGCACTCTCGACAGGCAAACATTCCACATTCCACTCTTGAATAGCTCAGTTCCTGTCCCCTACCCTGAGCGACAATCTTTCTCTTGCTAATCCTAATTCTGCCCTCTGGTGTCACGTGCAAAGAATGCAATCCCAACTCAAACACTTGCAGGCTGCTATTATGATGACCTCAAAGCACCTACAGTAGTTCCTCAGACCCCTTAGTCCCAGAGAGCCTCAAAATCAACATCAATCCACACTCTGTACGGATCTACGGCTGTTCTTGAACACACTGCAACCAAATGTAACCAACCAGGTGTGGTCTAACCAGGCAGGCCTCTGCTGGGCTGTCCTCTCCCTTTTCCTGACATCATCTGACCATCAAGCAGATCTAAACTTTGTGTGTGTGTGGTAAAATACACATTACATATAAGTTACCATTTTAAAGTGTGCAATTCCGCGGCATTAAGTACATTCACAACGTTGTACAACCATCACCACTACCTCGTTCCAGAACTTTTTCACAGAGACCCCATATACATTAGCAGTCAGTCCCCATTCCCTTCTTCCCCCAGCCCCCGGCAACCACCAATCCGCTGTCTCTATGGAGGTAACTCTTCTGGATATTTCATATAATGGAATCATACAATATGTGGCTGTTACGGATTGAACTGTATCCCCTCAAAATATCTGTCACCTTGGCTAGTACATGATTCCCAGTACTGGGTGATTATCTACCATTTTGTCATCGGATGTGATTTTCCTATGTGTTACAAATTCTACATCTATGATATTAATGAGGTAGGATTAGAGGTAGTTATGTTAATGAGGCAGGACTCAATCTACAAGGTTAGGCTGTGTGTTAAGCCAATCTCGTTTGAGATATAAAAGAGACAAGCAAGCAGAGAGGCACGGGGACCTCACACCACCAAGAAACTAGAGCCAGGAGATTAGCGCATCCTTTGGACCTGGGGTCCCTGTGCTGAGAAGCTCCTTGACCAGGGGAAGACTGATGACAAGGACCTTCCTCCAGAGCCAACAGAGGGAAAGCCGTCCCCTGGAAGTGACGCCCTGAATTTGGACTTCTAGCCTACTAAATTGTGAGAGAATAAATTTCTCTTTGTTAAACCCATTCACTTGTGCTATTACTGTTACAGCAGCACTAGATGACCAAGACGATGGCCTCTGGTCTGGCTTCTTTCACTCAGCCTCATGTTCTCAAGGTTCACCCGCATGGTAGCATGGGCCAATGCTTCATTCCCTTCTATGACTGAACAATATTCCATTGTATACATACACCATATTTTTCTTATTCATTCATCTGTTGATGGGCATTTGGGCTATTTCCACCTTTTGGCTATTGTAAATAGTGCTGCTATGAACATTTGGGTACAAGTTTTTGTGTAAACTATGTTTTCAATCCTCTTGAGTACACACCCAGAGGTGGAATTGCTGGGTCAGATGATAATGCTATATTTAACTTTTTGAGGAACCACCAAACTGTTTTCCACAGCAGCTGCACCATTTGATATTCCCACCGGCAATGGATGAGGGTTCCAATTTCTCCATATCCTTGCCCAAACTTGTTATTTTATTCTTTATGGCCACTCCAGTGGATGTCAGAAAGTAGTATCTCACTATAGTTCTGACTTCTATTTCCCTAACGTCTGATGACACTGGGTATCTTCTCCTGCGCTGGTTGGTCATTTGCCGCACCAGTGTTCACAACAAGCACATCTGACTATTCGCTCACATTCAGCTTGGGGTCAACCACAGTCCCCAGATCCCTGGGGCACAAATGGCAACCAAGGCAGGTCTTCTCAGCCTTGTACTAAGAGAATTAACTACTGAGCCAAACTAGCAAACTCTGCCTTTACTGCTATTAAGTCTCACGTTTGGGTGTCAGCGCAGGACTTTTTAAACTGCACCTGTCAGCACTGTTTGACTGTTTAGCGCCGTGAACCGACATTTCATCGTCATCACCTCAGTTCAGGTCAGTTACAGACACTGGATCTGCACGTCTTCGTTGTCCTCCGGCAAGTCCTTACTAAGTGCTGACAGGACAAAACTGCAAACACTCTGAGGCCACCACTGGGTCACTGGCACAGAAAGGCAAGTCCTGAGGTGTGGCACGCATGGCAGGGTGAGCTGGAAGGGGACAAAGCAAACCGAGAGGCCAGTAGCTGGAACTTCATTAGCTCGTTACGGTGACCCCGACTGCAGGGGACAGGAAGAAAAACCCGGAATTCACAAAGTACAGCAGATACCAAACCACAGTCTAAGTAAACAATTCGGGGCAAGAATCAGGGGAGTTCAAGAAACAGAAATAGGGTCCCTGGACATCTACTAACTCAGAACTGAAGCCACTCCCAGAGTCTCCCTGCCAGCTACAGATTAGACAGCCCTGTAAGACAAACAATAACACACGGGAGGAACGTGCTTCTGAGTTCAGTCAACTATACGAGACCAAATGGGCAATACTTGCCCGAAAGCAAAGATGAGAAGGCAGGGACCGGACAGGAAAACTGGACTAAGGGACACGGGGAACCTGAGGTGGAAAGGGGGAGAGTGTTGACACATTGTGGCGATTGCAACCAATGTCACTAAATAACCTGTGTATACATTTTTGAATGAGAAACAAATTTGCTCTAGGAACGTTCACCTATAGCACAATAAAAGATAAATAAATAAATAAAAGTCACAGAAAGAAATAGGGATGCCCTGATAGGCAAGTGGCATCTAGAAAGGAGACGCTTAGGAACAGACAAAATCTGGAGACTCAGATGGGCAGGCAGGTTGTCAGCTGCTAGCAGGGCCTTGACCATGGAGCAGGGCCTTGACCATAGGCTGGGCCTTGACCATGGGCTGGGCTTGGAGCAGAGCATTAAACATGGCACCCAGCCCAGAAAAACAAAAGACAGACCCAGGATCCAGAATCAGGGCACAGACAGCAGCCTCTTCTCAGAACAAAGCAGAAGCTCACTGTGGAAGCAAGAGAAAACGTCTCAGTAGGACTCTTGAAGAGGATGGCTAAGTGCCGAGCTTGCTGAGCCCCGAATGAGGGCTCCAGAAACTCCCCCTGGACGCAATCATGTCAGGAACCCGAGCTTAGGGCAGAGCTGAGCCTACAGCTGTGTCTGGTGGCTGCAGGTGAGAGGCAGGGAGATTCTGCAAAGGCAGCCAGGCAGGGCCGGTCCTGATGATGCCCAAGGCCCCACTGAGTCCCACAGACCAGAGACAAGTCATCTAAAGACGAGCTGCTGCCTTGTCTCCTGTGGGCAGCAGCCACCTCTGCACAGCTTTGGCTCTTGGTTGACGGAGCCTTCTCCTTGCTAGAGTGAAACAAAGTCACACAGAAACCACACAGTCGTGCCCGCTGCCTGGTGCCCTCCCCACAGTGGGCCTCTTCCACCTGTGTTCTTGCTCTGACCAGGCCTTTAAAAGCTCTTCTGTTGTCTTTGGCATTTTCCCAAAGCTCTAACCTTCCAGGGACACTCGTCGACTAATTCTTCATTTGTTTTTCTTTGTTGTTGTTATGCCTTTAAGGTCATAAACAATTGAAATTCACAATCTTACTTTTTAAGAATCTCCTATCCCTCCTGGGCACTGTCACTTCTCAAGTTTTTGGCCACTGATCAAACGTATCTTTTCTCAGACTTTTTGAAGTTGCTTTTCCTGAAATGACCGTACATGTCCTCACATTTTTGAGGTCCATGATGGAGAGGCCCACTCTCTCCTCCCAAGGATCCTATAATTTGCAAATCACCAGAAAGTTCTTTCTTACTCAGAATGAAATACAAAATACCATTGTTAAAATACTATCATTCAAGCACACACTAGAGGGGAAGTCAGCACAACTGGACTAAACCAAAGCGAAGAAGCTTCCTGAATACAATCAAACACTTTGAGGGACAGAGTAGCAGGGGCGGGGGTCTGGGGACCATGCTTTCAGGGGACATCTAGGTCAACTGGCATAACAAAGTTTATTAAGCAAATGTTCTGCATCCTAATTTGGTGAGTGGCATCTGGTGTCTTAAAAGCTTGCAAGTGACCATCCAAGATGCATCAATTGGTCCCAACCACCTGGAGTAAAGGAGAATGAAGAACTCCAAAGACACAAGGAAAGTATTAGCCCAAGAGACCGAAAGGGCCACATAAACCAGAGACTTCATCAGCCTGAGACCAGAAGAACTAGATGGTGCCTGGCTACCACCAATGACCACCCTGACAGGGAACACAAGAGAGAGTCCTGGATGGAGCAGGAGAAAGGTGGGCTGCAGAAGTCAAATTCTAATAAGACGACCAGACTTAATGGTCTGACTGAGACTGGGGGAAACCTGGAAAGTATGGCTCCCAGACTCTCTGTCAGGCCAGAACTGAAACAATTTCCGAGGCCAACTCTTCAGACAAAGATTAGACTGGATTGTGGGACATAAAATGATACTCGTGAAGAGTGTGCTTCTTAGCTTAACTAGATACATGAGACTAAATGGGCAGCTTCTGTCCAGAGGTGAGACGAGAAGGCAGAGAGGGTTAAGAGTTGGTTCAATGGACACGGGAAATCTGGGGTGGAAAGGAGGAGTGTGCTGTCACAGTATAGGGAGAGCAATTAGGGTCACATAACATGTATGTATAAATTTTTGTATAAGAGACTAACTTAGAAATGTAAACTTCCACTTAAACTATAACAATAAACAAAAAAAATTAAAAAAATAAGTTACGAAGGTAGCAAAGAATCCTTATGAATTTGTTTTTTGAAACAAGTTAAGTATCATTTTAAAACTAAGAGTATTTGGTAAAAAAAAAAAAATAATACCATTGTTTGCACTGCCTCCTCTCCTTCAGAAAGGAAGTTTTTGCTCCTGGTTATCTCTGAACATCTATGATTTTAAAAAAACAAATGAAAATAACTCCAATTACTTACCAAGGTGATCCACAGCATAATGAAAAAAACAATTGAATTTAATATGTCTGTTGCACGTTATGTCAGGATTCGGAGTCCTTCCTTTTTCATACTCATTTAAAAAATCACTGAAATTAAAAAAAAAAAAAACCTTTACATTTCTAAGCATAAAACATTCCTCAAAAAAAAAAAAAAGTTAAATTACTTGTTTAACTTAAAGAGTGTCTCCACATCGTAACAAAACTACAATTTTCTTTCTGCAAAACAGAAGCGGTTCCGTGTAAGGACATTTTCAGCGTTCTCATCAAATACCTGTATCTAGCCAGCCGCACTTTCCCTTAAGTCTGGGCTGATGCACAAACCTGGATGAATACTAAACACAGCGTCATTTCCTGTGGCTGTGGCTCTGCGGCCACTCTTGTCTCCCCAAGGGCTCCCAGGGGCCTGGGGTCAGGAGAGGAGGGGAAGAGGGGCTGTGGGGGACTCACTGGACATCTGCTCCCTCGCCTTCTCCAAAGAGGAAGGCTCAGACGAGGAGGAGTAACATCATCCAGATCTATAATCCTGGGCCCTATGAGCCATCCTGCCATCTCGGCCTGGGCAAATACCCCAAACTCCTCCCTGGGTGCAGAAAGTGGGGTCAGCGCCTCCTAACCAAGTGGATTTCTGCTCTATCTACCAGGTTGGCTGGATGTGGGAGGAGGCTGTTACAGTGTAGCCTGCAAAAGCTGGAATCTGTCAGAGAAGGATACTCAAGTACTTTCCACTAATAGAGAGCGACAGAAAAGTGGAAAGACAGCATCGTCAAAGGGGGAAAGCTGGCGGGACCTGGAAAATCAAGGCAGGTCCATCAAATTCCAGCTCTCACAGGTCTCTCTGTACTATTCTAGCAAGATTTAGTGAGAAATTAAGAGTTTTAGGGTATTCACTTCAGAAGGGTTAACTTAACCAGTTGCCATGGAGTTGACTCTGACTCATGTGGACCCCATGTGTGCAGAGTAGAACTGTGCTCCATAGGGTCTTCAGTGGCTGAGTTTTCAGAAGAAGGTCGTGAGGCCTTTCTTCTGAGGAGCCTCTGGGTGGGCTCGAACTTCCAACCTTTCGGTTAGCAGCTGAGTTGATTAACCGTTAGTGCCACCCAGGGACTCCTTTACTACAGTAAACACTTACTGCTATTTGTTGGGGTGAGATGAGACTTTATGTTAAGATTTTTTTGGCACGGGGAGTGGGTCACATGACTTCTCAGATCTCCCTGAATCACTGACCCATGTCATCTTGTCTGGGCATCAAGCCTCTCCTTGCGGCAGCTCCCAGGGCAGGTGGCAGCCTTCACTTCCCTAACCGGATTTAGCAACAGAGACATCACTAGGTTCAAGAAGGCACTGAAGACGCTTCTGGAAGGTGGTAAAATAACAGAATGAGAGCCTAGGAGGGCGCTGGGATCCAGGCTTCGCCCTATGATGGAGCGAGGTCCCCAGGGTGGCCAAGACCCCTCCACACGGCACCACAGCCAAGGAAGGGGCCGCCGCACGGGAGTTCACCCCGCACACGGCACCACAGCGAAGGAAGAGGCTGGCACACGGGAGTTCACCCCGCACACGGCACCACAGCCAAGGAAGAGGCTGGCACACGAGAGTTCACCCCGCACACGGCACCACACCCAAGGAAGAGGCTGGCGCACGGGAGTTCACCCGGCCAACCAGGGCATCCTTTGGTGTACGAGGACTCACATCGCAGCAACAAGCCCTCCACGGGTGTGTCTGCGGCGCTCACCTGAACACTTCATTCCAGTACTCCTTCACGAAGGACACCTGATGGAAAGGGATGTCTAGAATCTGACACACTTTGTAAGCATCTTCACAGTCTTTGTCAGCAGTGCAAACGCCACGCTCATCCAGGGAATCCCAGTTCTTCATAAACACCCCTGTCACCTGGTAACCTGAGGGACAGGAGGACGAGAGAAGAGGACCTAAAGTCACCCTGGGAGGACACAGGCAGCTCCCACGCCTCTGCCCACTGGTTGGCCTGGCGGTCCCTCCTCTGTCCCCGGCCCTGAGCTCAGCTGAGTCCTGGGGCAACTGGACTCTCCCGGCCAACTTCGACGCTCCTTCCCTGTGCATCTGCTGCACTTTGTAAAAGCCTCCATCCTCACAACACACTATCAGGGCACAGATCAGAAACCCTAGGATGGGCCCTGATGCCTTGCCCACCCTTACACTTCCAGGGGGCACACAGCAGAACGGGCATCTCCAAGACAGGGAACATCTTCCATGTCAAGAGCAGAGGACCACACTTTTCCTCTGCTAAGTCCATCAGCTTCCTCCACCGATGAGCAAAGCCCAAGGAAGGTTGGGATTTAAAGCTGTCCAGTCTGGGGCGGAGGGAGAGTTTACCTTCCAGTCATAAAATATTTCTGGTCTCCTCACAGCCGGTCTCTTCCCTCCAATCAGCTTCCACGTCTCCCAAAACACACCTCCACTCCCCACATCAGAAACCTCCATGGGCTCCACAATGCCTACTCCACATTGCCTAAAGTCCCTAATGTAACATCACCCATAATCAGGGCTCAACCTACTGCTCCGCCCAGGGCCCCTTCACCTCCCTCGGGCCAGGCCCAGCCAACACTTTCATGCCTCTGAGCTTCTATGCTGGGGACTCCACCAGAAATACTTTCCTCCTTACCTAGCACCTCCCATTCTTTGCTTACTGAAGTCCTACTCTCGCTTTGTGTCAGCTGAAACACCATCATCTCTACAACTTCAGTTCCCCCTTTCTCACAATTATATGTGCTTACAGTTTGCCTATACCTCTATTTAGCACTTTTTACAAGAGTGTGCGTGACTGTGATGATTATTAACAGTGTTGTTGTTGTTAGGTGCCATCGAGTCGGTTCCAACTCATAGCGACCCTGACATAATACAACACTGCCCAGTCCTGCACCATCCGCACAATTGTTATTATGCTTGAGCCCACTGTTGCAGCCCTTATGTCAATCCATCTCGTTGAGGGTCTTCCTCTTTTCGCGGACCCTCTACTTTACCAAGCATGTTGTCCTTCTCTAGGGACTGGTTCCTCCAAAAAATAAAGCCTTAGGTGGGAGAGCTCAGGTTTCAATACATGTTGGTAAGATATCTGATGCTCCGTATGCCCTACCTAAAGCTGCCAGAAGGGCTTTAAGAACTGTCAGCAGAGCTACAGAAAAGTCAGTGAAGACTAGCGGATTCCTCAAGCGAAAGCAGCCAACCTTCTCTGCCAACATGACTGAGAAGACTGGTAAAGAAAAAAGCTCTGTTCCTGCCTTGCATGACACTTACCCAGAAATAGAAAAATCCTTGCCCTTCGGTCCTCTAGATTTTGTTCTGACCTGCCTGAAGAGCACCGGACTGCATGCCTCTCCTTGAATGGAGTGCCCTTCATGACCCTCGATGAGAGGGAGCTCGAAAAGCTCTTAGACATGGGTCCCCTCATCTGTGAAGATGCCCTGTCTGACACGGGGGTCTGTCAATCTCCTTCAAGCATTCTGTCAACCTGGATGTTGAATTGCCACCTGCTTGCTGTAACTTAAGATATTTAAGCTTCTTAGTGCTTTATAGTTTTTTGTTTTTATTAGTAATAAAGTTGTTATTTTTTGAAAAAACCGTGGCTCGGGTCTGCCACACCTGAGTCATGATGTCGCTTATTGTTCCAGCTGTGAGGATTTTTATGCTGAGGTGTAATCCACACTGAAGGCTGCAGTCTTTGATCTTCATCGGTAAATGCTTCAAATCCTCTTCACTTATTATTTTCAATCGCCTCATATGCATGCGAAAGCTAGACAATGAGTAAGGAAGATCGAAGAATTGATGTCTTTGAGTTATGGTTTTGAAGAATACTGAATATACCATAGACCACCAGAAGAACCAACAAATTTGTCTTGGAAGAAGTACAGCTGGAATGCTCCTCAGAAGCAAGGATAGCAAGACATCATGTCACATACTTTGGACATATTATCACGAGGGACGAGTCCCTGGAGAAGAACATCATGCTTGGTAAGATGAAGCGTCAGTGAAAAAGAGGTAGATCCTTAACCTGATGGATTGACACAGTAGCTGCAACAATGGGTTCAAAAACAATTCTGAGGATGGTGTAGGACTGGGCAGTGTTTTGTTCTGCTGTACACAGGGTGGCTATGAGTCGGAACCGACTCGACAGCACCTAACAGCCACATGTACTAATGACCACTACCATTTTCTGAGTATCTACTATGTGCTGGTCTGGGGTAAACAAACAAAAACCAATCTGTTGCTGTCAAGTCAATGCCGACTCGTAGCAACCCCAGAAGGCAGAGTAGAACCACCCCATAAGGTTTCCTAGGCTGTAATCCTTATGTGAGCAGATTGCCAGGTCTTTCTATTGTGGAGCTGCTGGACGGATTCAACTTACTGACCTTTTGGTAAGCAGCTGAGCTCTTAATCACTGTGCCACCAGGTCTCCTTTGGTCTAGGGTAGACCCTTTGATGTGTCATTTAATCCTGCTAGTGACCCTGTGAGGTAGGTGTTACTCCCATTTAATCCTGCTAGTGACCCTGTGAAGTAGGTGTTACTCCCATTTCACAGAGGAGAGAGTCATTTATCTTACCCAAGGTCATGAACCAGCATATTCTAAGTGCCTAGCACCAAAGGTGGTAGAAAGCAGACTCCACAAACGTTACTAGTGAACAAGGTCTCACACCGGAAGGGGCCCACAGATGACTTTCAGACAGACAGTTCATCTCAGCTCCTTGACCCTAAACACCCATGGGGCTTCCTTTGGAGGCCGAGAAGAAATGCCAGCGCTCTAGTGGAGCAGTCGGTCACTCATTGAAAGACAATGCAGAAGTGGTTCAACTAGCAGCCCACCATTGGGTACTTCATCCCACGTGTCGCCTGACAGCTGTCCTGGCACAGCCGGGAGGAGAGGACATCTTCAGAGCAGCGCGGTCTGGCCCCACTCTTCTAGCTACCGCCTGTGGCTCCACGGTTCACAACACGCGGACGTCGCCACCATCACCATCCGTCAGGGCGGCGCGGGGCCGGGGACCTGTTGATACCCTCCCCTCGCCCCGAGAGTCCGGGCACGTAGGACCCACTAAGAGCAGATCACTGAGAAGTGTGGGGCCGTGACTCCTCCAAAGGAGATGAAGTTGCCGTGGGCTCGCATTCCCATCGAGCAAGTGGCGAGCGAGCAGCCGCAGAGGTGAGAGAGAGGTGAGGACAGGGGAGGAGGGTCGCAGAGAGGGAGGTGAGGACGGGGGAGGAGGGTCGCACAGAGGAGAGGGAGGTGAGGACAGGGGAG